GTGTGTGTGTGTGTGTGTGTGTGTGTGTGTGTGTGTGTGTGTGTGTGTGTGCGTGTGTGTGCGTGCCTGCGTGCGAGCGTGCGTGCGAACGTGCATAGGTGCGTGCGTGCGTGTGTGTGTGCGTGCGTGCGTGCGTGTGTGTATGTGTGTGTGGGGGGGGGAGGGGAGGTTGAAGTAGGATGAATTTGCGATCCAGTTTAATTTAGATTTTACCGATGTTTTTCTCTCATTTACAGATTTGACAAAGTGGTCGTGTTCTCTGGCATTCGCTCTTAAGTAGGTTCGCGCTTTTTTCAATAAATTAAAACAATGATCGGCGATGATTTCTGCTATTGATCATGATTCCTGACTAATAAACAAAAAAATATTGAGCGTTAAATTATATTACACGATAGCGCTAGCTTTTCCATCTATACTCAGACACGCGATCTTTGCACCTTTGGGCACACTTAAAGACGAAATACTACGCCTATGAGGTGTCATTAAGTACCGAGCGAGAGAGAGAGCGAGAGCGCGTGGCGAGAGAGAGGGAGAGAGAGGGGGAGAAAGCGAGCGAGAAGTGAGAGAAAGAGCGAGAGAGGGGGAGAGAGTAAAAGAGAGCGAGCGAAAGAGAGAGCGCGCGAGAGAGAGAGAGAGAGAGCGAGAGAGAGAAGAGAGAGACAGAGAGAGAAAGAGAGAGAGAGAGAGCGAAAGCACGAGAGAGAGCGAGATTGAGAGAGAGAGAGCGCGCGCGCGAGAGAGAGAGAGAGAGAGAGAGGAGGAGAGAGAGAGAGAGAGAGAGAGAGAGAGAGAGAGAGAGAGAGAGGAGAGAGAACGCGAGTGAGAAAGTGAAGAGTGAGGAGAGATCGAGGTAGAGCGGAGAGAGATGAGAGCAGAGAGGGGGACGAGAGAGTGTGCAGACAGAGATGGATATAGAGGAGGGAGGAGGGAGAAGAGATTGAGAGAGAAGAGAGCGATCAGTTCAAGAGAGAGAGAGAGAGAGAGAGAGAGAGGGCGCGAGAGACGAGAGACGAGAGAACGAAGAGAGAGAGAAGAGAAGAGAGAAGGAGACGAAGAGAGAAAGAGAAACGAGGAGCGCGCAGACGAGAGCAGAGGTAGGAGGACAGAGAAGAGAGAAAAAGAGAGCGAGAGAGAACAGAGAAGAGAAGAGAGAGAGAGAAGAGAGATTGACGAGAGAGAGGAGAGAGAGAGAGGGAGAGAGGAGGGAAAGAGAGAGACAGTAGATGAGAGCGAAGAGAGAAGAGAGAGGGACGAGAGTAGGCAAGAAACGAGCGAGATGAGAGAGAGACGTGACTTATTTCAGTTGTTATTGACACTCCATTGTAGCGGGAAATAATACGCACCGGGCAGTGAAACTTTTTTTCCACTTGAGTTCGCGGAGCCTACCAGATATGAGTGTTTGTAATATATGAGTTGCATACTTAATGTTATTATATTTAGTGTTACGGATTCGGGTACGATTTAGCGTTAGGGTTAGTTATCAGTTGTATTCATTTTACATTGCGTCTTCGAGGAGTTCGCCGAGTGAATGAAGTGCGGCTGAATTGCTGTGAGTCGCGGACTCCAAGTGCGGAAAAAATTTGCGACCCGGCCCAGACGGCTGGAACAAATAAGGCATCAGACTAGAGGCCTCGTCTCTATCCGAAATTTTCTATTTGCAAACCATCGTCATCGTATGTTTATAGAATTGCCATTAGTGTTGTTAGTCGATGCTTGCTCGGCTCGATGCATGGCTGCTGGTCGGTGGTGGTGTGGTGGTGTGTGGTGGTGAGTGGTGGTGCTGGCTGCCTGCTGCTGGTTGTGCTTGCTGATGATGGCATTGCGCGTGCTGGCGGTGGTGGTGTGTGTGCTGCTGCTGGGGTCGGTGGTGGTGTGTGGTGCTGCGCTGCTGGCTGCTCGGTGGTGGTGGTGGTGGTCAGTAGGTGGTAGTGTGAGTGGTGGTGGGGTGCTGGTGTGATGGGGGTGTTGCTTTCTGACTACTGATGGTTGCTTAACTGCCTGTACTGCGCGAAGAAGGCGCTCAGTTAATTAGCGCAAATTTGAAGAAATAAGAATCGATATCTCAGGCACCATAAATTTTCGTCGAAGAGAATCGACCGGTGACCGTGTGTGGCGCGCTCGGTGCGCGGAGAATGGGGGGTCGATAGCAAGCGTGTTTTCCCTTGAGCTAGATGAATTGGGAATCCAGTGGGTTGGCGGGCGGGAATGGGGTGATCTTTCGTCCACAACGTTGTCCCGCGCGCACGCGCACGCACCGCAACACGTGCAACAATATGTCAGTACAGTCAGTCACTTTCTGCCAGATAAATTTGGCAGCGGCTGAACAGGCGTGATAGGAAGTTACCTATGGGCACTTCCTAATATTTTAACATATATTTTACGATATATTAAAGAATTAGATGGCAAAAAACCCTAAAGAAAGTTGCCTAACCCTAACCCTACCCTAATCGCTAACCCATAAGCCCTAACCCTAACCTGACCCTAATTTAAAATTTAAAATATATGTTTAAAATTAGAAGTGCCTAAGTAAAACAATATCCTACCACCCCTTTTCAGACCGCGCTCGCGATTAAGTTGGTCGTACTTCGGCGCGCATCTATCGGGGACAAAAATATTTGAAACGCTCATCGTCAACCGGTCGCGTGTTAAATTATCACAGGAATAAATGTGTGTCGGCAATTGCTTTTTAATCGACGGATATTACGAATTTTATTAACCGTTAATATCAATTTTATTTATATAATAAATTTTATTAAAATTATATGCGCTTCCAGCATAACCTTTACACGGTCGAGACTTACACCGTGTATATCACGGTGTGTGTCATTTTCGGTGAGATATTTGCTTGTTCAACGTAAAGTGGGCCCGATGTCTGTCGGCATATGCTTACGTTTAGCTATTTAACACCCAATTAGGCTCCTCGTTAGTCGGGTTAGCTATGATCACTGAGCTGCACCAGATGCGAGACCGACTTTAGCCAGCTACCTCTTCGACAAATGCGTAATCTCACGATATGATAATAGGCAAAATGAGCTAGATCTAAAACGATCGTAAAAAGACATTGATCGCATAGGCAGTACTTGAATAATCGCCGTGTTCAATAACAACATAACGCACACACGGCAGCACCGCACGCACGCACCGCACGCACACAGACACACGACACAGCACACACAACACACGCACCACACGCAGCACGCGACAACGCACGGCACGCACACACAGACACACACACACACAACACACACACACAACACACCACACACACACACACTCACACACACACACCACACGTACGTACCACAGTTAACCGTGTGCGTGGCACTGCACCGCCCAGCCTGGCATACATATAGTTGTACGCCCGCCCGCCAGCCCGGATTGTTGGTACAACACGCAGCAACCACAACAAGAACGACGATGCACCGCTGCTGGAGATACGACGTCATAACGACGTCGCTAGCACCTATTTGCCGAGTTTATTTCCCGCCGTAAACGTGACGTAAATTGTCGATCGTCGCTAGGCAATATAACACCTCTGATTGCGTTCGTGATTTCTGCTTGACGGGGGATACGTACGGAAGAGAGATATTAGGAGAGAGGGGAGGAAAGAGAGAGAGACAGAGAGAGAGAGCAAGAGAGAGCGAGAGAGAGCGAGCGAGAGAGAGACAGATAGAGAGGGAGAGCAAGAGAGGGAGAGCAAGAGAGAGCGTGATAGAGAGAGAGAGAGAGAGAGAGAGCGAGAGAGAGCGAGCGAGAGAGAGACAGATAGAGAGGGAGAGCGAGAGAGGGAGAGCAAGAGAGANTTTTTTCCCTGCACACACATATATATATATATATATATATCATGTACTGAATTATAAAAAAACGTGTGGGTGCACGCTATCTCACATGCGTGCGTGCGTGAGTTCGTGTATTACTGGTCACTGCGTGTACGTGTACATATACGTGTGTTTGTACATGCATACGGTACTTACAGAATATCTGAAGCGTCTGCCGCAGGATTCCCCAGACCGCACGGATGCTGAGAAGGCGCTCAGTCTTGTTTCTAACGCAGCCAACCACATCAACCTAGCAATGAGGAAGATCGTAAGTAACATCATGTATATATATATATATAGAGATAGAGAGTGCGAGAAAGAAAGAGGGAAAAGAGACAGAGAGAGAGAGANCAGAGAGAGAGAAAGACAGACAGATACAGACACAGAGAGAGAGAAAGACAGACAGACACAGACAGAGAGAGAGGGGGAGCAGAGAATATATTGGAGAGTGTCTATGGCCGAAGAAGAAGTGGCTGGTGTGCCAGCATAAGTATAGAAAGAAAATCTCTGTATATCAGGAGTAGATAATAGGGATTATATTTATAGGGATAATAGGTATTCCCTATTAGCTACTCCTGCTGTATATGTCAAAGCTATAAAAGGTCGCTCAAGGGAAACGCCCACATGCACGTTTATAAGCAGGTGCCCTTCGCAGAGGTCTTTTATGCAGATGACCATTTTATAAAGGTGGGCGCTATCGACAGCTTGACTGTGTTAAACATGTGTTTTGTTTGTCTGTGTGTAGAAGCTGCCGGACTGTGGTAACCTGTGCGTGCTGCATCACATGCTGCAGCCAGTGCAGCGTGTGCCAAGATACGAGATGCTGCTTAAGGGTAGGTCTGCTAACTCACTTGTCCCTACACCCTCCCTGTCTCTCCTCTTCTCCTTCTCCGCCTTATCTCCCTGTTATCATATCTATGTCCATATCTCCCACCTTACTTTCATGCGGCGCTGTCTCTCCTTGATGATCTTCCTCTGATCTCCATATATATTCCTTTCCCTTCTCTCCATTAATATGCACCCTCCCTCTCCCTATTCCATTCTTCCTTTCTCCCCTCCTGATCTCCCTCTGCCCTCTCCCTGTCCCCCTGCACTCCTTCTCCTTCCATCCCCCTGCCTATCACATTCTCCCTTTCTCCCCTCCTGATCTCCCTCTGCCCTCTGAGCCCCCTCTCCCTGTTCCCCTGCACTCCTTCTCCTTCCCTCCCCCTGCCTACCACATTTGACCCTCTCCCACTTCCCCTTCGAGTCCCCTCCCCTCCCCTCCCATTACCCCTCTTTACCTCCACCTCTCTCCAATTCTCCCGACCTCCTCCTCCTTTCTCGTTCCACCACCATGTTTTGAACCACTCCAGCATGCCTTCCCGTGTTATTCTCCACTTCCGCTTCCCGTGTTATTCTCCGCTTCTCCAGCATTCCACCATTACCCGTGTTAACGAGGCGACAACAACAACAACAACAGCCGTCATTATTAGTATAGCAAACGTGAAGCAAAAGCAAGCGCACTGCGGCGTTTCTGCGGCTCGATGTAATAATGTGACGGGAGGTAAAAAGTTTTCGCCTGCCGTTGCTGTACAGCGAGTGTAGAGCGTGGGACATCGAGTGTAGGGGTTATTTGTCCTCGTCGCTATCTCTCTCTCTCTCTCTCTCTCTCTCTCTCTCTCTCTCTC